TTAACCGAGCACACGGGGCGGGCGTGAGAGGCGGCAGGAGGGCGCGGCCGGCCCCGGGTTCCCCGCTGGCCCGGCCCGGGGCTCGCGGAGGAACCAGACGGCTTCGGCGGAGGTTCGGCGGTCCCGCCAGGACACGGGGCGGTCCCGCCACTCACCTGTGGGGTCCACAGCATCGCTCGCCTCGACGACGGAGTTCACCGTGAGACAACCGGGCGCGGAAATGTCGTCATCAAGGTGCGCGAGGATTCAGGGCGCCCCCCCCCCCCCCCCCCCGGGCCTAACAGGATGCGCGCCGAAACCTTTCCGGGCTGCTACCTCAAAAGGCGCGTGCGCACAACGAAGGCCGGCCGGGTTTATGGCGGATACCTCTGAGTACGCGTGCGCAGTGGGGGCAGCTCCGCCCCTTACGCCTGAGCTCACGCAGTGTCCACCACAAGGACTGCGCGTGCGCGCAATGAGAGGCCATTTATTAGGGCCCTCGAGGCGCGCCCCCTAGTGGGTAACCGGCGCAGAGCAATTACACAGAGTGTATTGACGGCCTTTCCTCCAACAGGCATTTATTGAGTGCCCACACTGTGGGCCAAGCACTGCGCTGGGTCCTGCTTACGTAAGCGAGAACGACCGATGCAGCCTAGTAGGGAAGCCCTGATCGTCGAGGAGCGGGTCTCTGGGGTCGACCACGTTTTCCCCCACACGTAACACACCGCCCGGCAGGTACATGTCTGCGGACAGAATGGCCGAGGGGAGACCGAGCCTTCGCTGCCTTCCAGGATGCGGCTGCCGAGGAGGACAGCCGGGGGCGCTGTCGGGAATGGAACGGTCGCCTGGGCCGGTAGAGGGCGCTGTTGGGGCGGGGGCGGAGGACAGGGGCGGGGCGCGCACCTTCCCGCGGCCGCGCAGATGGCACCCCCGGCCGGGGGCGCCCCCAGGGCTGGAGGCGACCCTGCAGAAGCTCGCGCTGCGGCGGAAGAAGGTGCTGAGCGCCGAGGAGACGGAGCTGTACGAGCTGGGGCAGGCGGCGGGCGGCGCCATCGACCCCGACGTGTTCAAGTGAGCTGGCGCGTGGGGGGGTGGGCTGGGCTCGGGGGACCCCGGACGCTCCTGCTCTCCTGCCCATCCCCCGCCTTTGTCGGACCCCCTTGAAGCCCAGGGTAGAGTCGGACCGGCAGCCTGGTCTGGGCGAGGAGGGCTCCCTGCGCACTGCGTCTGCTCTCTCCAGGATCCTGGTGGACCTGCTGAAGCTGAACGTGGCGCCCCTCGCCGTCTTCCAGATGCTCAAGTCCATGTGTGCCGGGCAGAGGCTGGCGAGCGAGCCCCAGGACCCTGCGGCCGTGTCCCTGCCCACATCGAGCGTACCTGAAACGAGAGGTCAGACTCGGGCCCGGTACTCCCTGCCCCTGGGGCCCGGGCGGCCAGGTGGCAGGGGCGGGGAGGGGGGCAGCGCCCAGGACGGCGCGGGGTCGGCCCTCAGTGCCCAGGCCTATCTGTCGGTCTTCTCCCAGGACCCGCTGAGCCACCCAAGGGCTCCCCCTTGGGCTCCAGTCCCCAGCTTCGCCTTGGCTGCCGCCCTTGAGAGAGCACGTCCAGATCGGGTGGGCTCAGAGGGGGTGCCCCAGGGAGGCCCGAGTAGGCTGGGCCTCATCCGGGACTTTCGCTGCCTCAGCCTCTTCTCACCTCTGGGTTCCTGCCTTCACTCTACAAACGCGGGAACAAGACTGCTTTGGTTCGTGTTCTCACGGTTTGTACAGCCTTCAGGGACGTGCTCAGAGAGCTGGGTAGGCAGAAGCCTTCCTGCGACCCCTTCGCCTATACCCCACCCCGGCCCAAGTCCTGCTCAGGAGTCTGGCCAGCTGAGCTTCCCTCCTCGGGTTGTGGGACGGGAGTCAGCGTCGCAGCCCCTGGCTGCCCTAGACGCTCAGGGTGCAGAGGCCTGAGTGGCAGAGCGTTGGGCTCGGGTGTGAGGGGCCTCCTCACTCTGCAGGGTCATGACTGGGGGATGAACAGGTGCTGGTGACCAGGTGTCACGGTGGAGCTCCAACTGCATCCTCCCTTTGTGTCATTTCCACTCCCAGTGGCTATCAGAAACCCTCTGACATGCAGGGGAACCTCCTGGGCTGGCTCCTGGGCCAGAAGCACCAGGGCTCTCATAGACACCCCGAGACGGGGCTGATGTTTAGGTGGGGGGCAGGCCACACCCCTGTGGGTGGGAGTGCCAGGGCCCTGGGTACCCACATCCCCAGTCATGTGAGGCCCCGGGGACTCAAACGTAGGCCTCCTCACTGACCCACGCTCTGTCTGCTCTCTCTGTCTCTCTCTGACCTCCAGAGGCCTCCTTCCTCTCTTCCAAGAACTGTAGCCCCCCTGCAAGGCCCTCCTTTTCCTGGGCCCCTCGGCCTGCGGCCTCTCCAGTTCTGCTCCATGGCCCAGCTGCCACGCACTCGCCTCTCTCTCCTGGGCCCCCCGGTGCCCTCCGGTTCTCTTGCTGCCCGTTCTCTCCTTTTACAGGTTGTGTTTATTGGTTTATCTCTGGGGGTTGGTGTGCTTTCTTTTTTCCATGGAAACTGCCGTGGCCCCCAGAAAACCAGAGCAGCTTCGAGCTGCAAGGGCAGGACCCTGTGGGCCTGCCATGCAGCTTAGAGACCGAGGACAGGATTTCATGGCTCACTTTATTAGAGACAACCCGCAGTACTTCTAGAAGGGGACCAACATCCCCTCCCCCAGAGGCTAATTCTGCTGAGTGAGACTTGCACTCTGTAGAGGTGCTCCCACCCCCGAGGAGAACAGACCGAAGGGCAGGGAAGGGGCAGCGTGGTGCGCTGTGGAGAGCAAAGCCCTGAGTGTGAGAGACACCTTGGTCTCTTAGATGCTGTCAGCCACCTGGATGGGCAGCCTGGAGGATAGACTGTGATTCTTCTTTTCTGCCTAGTTCCTGAGCAGGCGGTACCTTCTAGGCATTGCCAGGGGCGTGTGAGGGAGGTCCTGATCCCACAGGTGCTCTGGCTTTGCCCTCCTTCATGCCCCTCCCTATATTGCCCACCTGGAAGTTCCAGGTGCCACCTGGAGCAGGGGCCAGGGAGGAGTGGGGAAGGGCCGAGGGGCAGGTCAGGGGAAGGGTGGGTGGACTAGAGGCTGGACTGAGGAATCGATGGGTGAGTTTCCAGAGGGACAGAGAAATAGGGAACAGAGCCCTCCTCACTTGAGGGGGTGTTGGGTCCCACTCACTCAGGACTGTGGGTGCCAGGCTGGCTCTAGTGCTGAGGGCGCAGTGGGACTGCGAGAGGGACATGCTCTTGGTCCAGGGAGGGAGGTGGCCATATAAAGCGACAGTAACGGACGGGAGGAGGCCAGTGCCGCTGGCCTTGCTGGAGCAGTAAGGGTTAAGCAGGCAGGGGGCCCTCGGTGCCAGCTGCAGTCTCCTTGCCCTGGAGCCCTGCAGGTGGGGTGGTGGGGAGGGGCTGAGAGAGGAAGGGCAGGCGGGAGGCAGATGCGGAGCCTGGATCCAGGCCACTGGTGGGAGCTGGGCCTGAGCTGGGGGTGTGGGGAGAGAGAGAGAGCAGGGAGTCAGGAGGTGTGCCGTGGGAATGGCTCTGGGAGCACTGGCATAGAGCGGGTGGGAGGATCCGAGGGGGCTCTGAGGGAGGTGGGGAGGAAGCCCCAAGCCCGGGGACAGGAGTGGAGCGCTGGGCTCCACAGGGTCGTCCTCTCCTCAAGTGCTCAGGCCTTGGGTCCTGCTGGGCTGGGTGGCCGGCAGCCAGAAGACCAAGACACGGAGGCCCTGGGGAGATGCCTGGTGGGGTAGAGGGCAGCCTGGGAGGGGTTTGATGGGGAGGAACGGGAGGGGAGTGGGCTGATGAGGGGCCATGCCAAGAATGTGCTGTGGCCGAGAGGCAGAGGCCACCAGACAAGACAGCTCTCTGAGGCCACATGTCACAGCATCTGTCACAGAGAGCTTCGGGCCACCTCATTAATGGCAGGATCTGGGGTGGAGAAAATAAAGAGGTGTCAGAGTGACCCCGCTGTGGGGCCTGTGGTGGCCCAGGAACACGACGGGGGCCTGGGGTTGTGGGCACTCACTGGCCTCAGGTTTCCCACAGAATCGGGGTGTGCAATTGCTCCAGGCCGTGGGCTGGACCCCACTCAGGGGCTTGACTCTGTCTGGGTTCCTGACCCCCAGCCATCGAGGTGACCTGTGGGGACTGTCATCGTCAAGCTCACTCATTTCTGCCTTTTCCGGTAGAAAAGGGGGAACAGAAGACCCTGAAAGCACAGGGAGATAATGCTTGTCATGGTGAGGATGGGGGTCACTGAGGAGAAGTTAAATGCAGTGGAGTGCTCTCTGTTGAAGTTTAGGGAAACTGGACGTTTTAAAAAGACGTCCCTCAGGATGTGTGAGATGAACTTGGTGAGCGGAAGCCGTGAGCCTCATGGGGAGCTGCGCCGTCCAGTGAGGGAGCCACAGGCCCCGGGGCTGGTGCGGGTGAGACGCACTGGGAGTGTAGGTGCAGAGCGCATGCCCGGACGCCGGAGGATCAGCACAGAGAGGGAATGTACCACCTCACGAATAACTTTCATATTGACTCCATGCTGAAATGATCATATATTGGATATTTGGGGTTAATTAAAACAGATTATTTAAAAGATTTCCTGTTTCTTTTTACTTTTTAAAGTAAAAAGTACTAGAATTTAGTACTAAACTACTAAAAGTACTTTAAAAAATTACTGGAATTTTTACTTTTTAAAGTAAAAAGTACTAAATTTTCTAGTGGCTACTAGAAAATTTAAAATTACACATTTGGCTTGCATCACATTGCTATTGGACAGCGCTGCTCCAGAACATTCAAAATCACGGCCATGTGTGCACAAGCAGGGCGGGATCACTGGGCACGTCCATGTGGGAGAACACCTTCCCAAGAAGTGGAGGCTCAGTTCAGGGTTAAAAGTGCATGTGTGTGTGTGTCCATGGTGCACGTTGGTCTCTGTAGTTGTGTCTGTAACGTGTTCTGGAAGCACTGATTAAGGCCCTACTGTGAGCCCGGCCAGAGAGGGCAGCAGTGCTGGCCACCACCCTGCCTGCTGGCCTTGAAGACCTGAGGGTGGCCTGCTGTGCTGCCTCCCCCGGCTGCAGTGGCTCCCGCAGCAGGGCTGTCGTCTTTTCTTTCCTCTCCTCATTTCTCAACCCTCTTCTCCCTAGTTCTCCTGTTCCTTTCCTTCCTCACACAATGTGCATTCACTGCACACTCATGGCCAGTCACTAATATTTGCCTTGGCGGCCCCACTGGCCCATTTCCCCACGAGGGGGCGCTCCCACCACAAAGGAGAAAGACCGCTTTGGGGGACGGGCAGGAAGGCATGGAGCAGCAGTTCCCATTGGGCTTTTTATAGATCCTTGTTGTCAAGCAGCTCTGCCGGGAGAGCTTGCAGGGGATGGTGAGTGGGGATCACAGGGGCCACACCAAGGAGAAATGGCAGAGTGGGTCCCACCGGTCTGGCTGGCTCCTCAGCTTCAGGGGCTCCCCGAGTCCTGGGTGCTGACAGGCTGGTACGTTTTAGGGTTTGCTTCATTAGAGCGTCACAGAGCACTGAGTGGCCACAAGCTGGTTTTGGGGATCGGAGGAGCACTGACGTTGAAGAAAAAGCCAGAGTGTTTCTAACATTCAGTGATCGCTGTCTGTCTTTGATGCCTAAGAGGGCCCCTCAGGAACTGGGCCTGGGACCATGGCCCACCCCAGCCTGCAGTCACCCTTGGCTCAGCCCCACCCTCCATTCCCTCTCACCCCAATAACCCCTCCACAAAGGAGCTGGGGCAGGTGTGACCAACTCCAAAAAGTCCCTTGCTGGGTCCCCCGGGGAGGGCGTGGCTGAGCCAGGCTTAACAAAGCAGGTCTTCCCGTTGCCAGGCCCTGCAGACCATTCTCGATCTCCCCATCTTCATGGGGAAAATGAAGAAGACTGAATGGGTCTCCCCACTAATCCCGGGAGCATGTGATTCCTGAAGGGCTCCAAGAATTGCCCAGAGTGGGATGATGGCGTGCTTTCCTTGGTAGAAGGTTTCTCAGTGCCTTCTGTGGCTCAAAGTTACATTGGTTTCTCATTTCTGGGGTTTATGGGCCTTGTGAGATTTAAAGATGAACATTATTTGCTCTTTTCTTGTTTCATCCTTGAGTTTCCGGAAGGGTCAGGTCATTATACTGAGGGGGAGAGGAAGCTCACCTGTGTGGCAGGCTGAAGAAAAGCTGGCTTCACAGTCAGGCCCATGTCTGAGAGCTGCCACTTGCTGGGGGTGAGCTGTGCCTGAGCTCTTCTCCCCAGTCCTTCAGGAAACGCCCCTCATGGAGAGTCCATGGGCCCCTAACCTCCCAGGGTTAGGCCAGAGGCTACAGAAGACCTACCTCTGCCTGGCCTGGGTTGGGGCGGGGGCTGTGGCCTCAGGGGGGCACTAGCATGTTGGGAGATGCTGCAGGGTGGTGGGCTCATGCTCTCGTAAGACATGGGATCCTTGCGGTGGGGACCAGAATAGTAGCATTTGCACCAAAGGAAATGGGGGGTGACGGTTCTCTCTGTGTGTCTTTCTGAGTCACTGGTAGGCTGCGTTGGCCCAGCTTCACCCCACCACACGCTCCTGTGTGCTCCCCCTTGGCTCTGGGTAACCTGTTATTACTTCTTTGTCTCATCAAGTGTACGTGAGCCCTTGAGTGTGAAACCCAGGGAGGCGAGGCTGGGAAAACTTGAGCCCTCAGAGTTCCAAGCATGGCACCTCTATAACCCTCCCCACGCACGGGCAGCAAAGACCCCCCTGCTCTCTGAGGAAGAACTTTCCAGAAATTCTTTTAAGAAGGACCGTCCCATCCCTGCAGGAATCCCAGGGAGAATTCAGTTGTCAGTATTAGCATGAACGTGAGTCTGATGTCCTTCTGGAGGAGCCAGGGTCTGCAGTGTCAAATGCAGACGCCTCTGCTTGCTCAAGGTGACAAATGGTGACACAGAAGTGACCTAAGAGGCTCCTAAGAAACTTCCTTGTGTCTTTTCTCCAAGAACTCACAATTCCCCGTTGCAGCCTATTTGACTAAGAATCAGGATGGAGTCTGGGGGTCAAGCAGGGCACACCTGCCCTGGTCAGAGCCCGCAGGGCAGACCCTGCTAGGGGGGAGCAGAGGAGAACCCTGGCTGGGGCAGGCCCAATGGGGAGGGGCTGTGACTCAGTAGACGAGCCTCTTCCTGGGGACGTTTTGTCCCCGTGGGGTCCTCTTGGTCTCGCTGATGCTGTCAACCCCCTGAGCCCGGGGCAGCTACTCCTTTAATCGAGCTCTGGCCCAGGTGTGGCTGCAGAGCTTCCTGGCTGTCTTCACAAAGAGAATAAAGAAAGCAAAGGACACATCAAGGAGTAGCTGAACCCGTGGGCTCCGTATGTGGAGTCTCTGTCTGCGTGTGACTCCCGTGGTCAGGACGAGGCTCGAGCGGTTGAGCGACGGCAGAGCCATCACGGGCCCGGGAGTGACCCTGGGAGCAGGAGGCTCGACCACGGAATGTGTGCGGAATCCTGAGGGAGGGGGGGAAACGTGTGAGAAAGAGCTCTCCAGATGCAGATCCCAAAGCCTGACTTCCGTACTTGATGACTGACGTGCTTCCTGATCCGTTCAGATGTGGGGGATCCGGAGAGGAGGAGAGGGCCTGCGGGGGGAGACCAGCGGCCCTGCAGGGAGCCGTCCCATGCTGCTGGCGGTCAGGGCCGACCGCCTGCGCTTTCCAGGGCGGGAGTCACCAGGCTGAGCTCCCCTTCCCCTAAATTCACCACCAGAACTTTCCCCATTGCTCCTGGCATTGCCTCCGTCCTAGGAGGGCCTCCTACACTGTGCCGAGGACTCTTCCTGGATGTGCTGTGTCCAGGCGGTGCTCAGCCTCAGGGCTGCCATAGGGTCCCCGGCTGAAAGGACCGTGACAGAAATGTCCTCGATGTAAATGTTGCTCAGAGAACACAAACACAGTAGGTGCGCTGTGACCGTGGGGCTTGCCCGGGTTCCTGACGGTGGTGTTCTGTCTGCTCAGGGAGAAACAAAGGCAGCAGTGCTCGAGGTGGAGGCATGGCACTGGCAGAACGCGGCGGCCGGGAAGGATCCAGCCAGAGGATGCCCCGCCAGCCCAGTGCCACCAGGCTGCCCAAGGGGGGTGGACCGGGGAAGAGCCCCACGCGGAGCAGCACCTGAGACGGGTGGAGACTTCTCACACCACCCGCCTGTGGGCTCCCCATCCCCCCAGCAGAAGCTGTGTGTGGCTTCCTGCAGTTGCTAATAAACCTTTTTGAAAAATTGAGGGTCCATTCAAGACATTTTCTGTCACCTTTTGAATATATTAAGGCACAAAGATTTAGAACTAGTTCTGTGTGCTGGTCTCGGTTATGCTACAGCTGAACTAACCAAGTGACTTAAACCAGTGACTTCATCCTCCTGGACCTCAAGTTCGGCTCTGAGAGAAAATATCCGTACTACTAGGTCTTTTATAAACAGACATCAACACGTTGTGCTTCAAGTGAAAGGTAGGACGACGCTTTTACTGAGACCATGGACAGTGAGTCATGATCTAGAGCTTCTAACCTTCTGTGGGTCATAAATGCTGTGGAGAATCGAAAAACCCTTTTCCCAAAAACATGTCCTGACCTTACACCTTTGACCCATAGGTTTAGGGATTTTGTGGACACCCCCCAACCTCCATGGACCTCAGATTTTAAAACTCCAGTTCTAAGCTTTTATACTTTAGTCCACATGACCCATCAATGGAGAAGCCTGAAAAATGGCAAATTCAATTGAAAAACCTCACTCAGTTTTCCTAGGATTTAGTAAATCTTTAGTCTTTAAAACCTTGGGTGGGAAATACTGACCATCTCGCCCCGGGTCACGTCACGTGAGCAGTGGCTCCTCACTGATGTAGCTGGTGCTCCACCTGCTCCAGCAGCGCAGCGCTGTGCGGCCCAGACCAGCCCCCTACGCGGCCCATCAGGTCGGGGGTCCCCCCACTGCTGTGGGCAGATGAGTGTGTCCCCGCCGAGCACCACGACACACACAGGTTTAACACAGAAACTTTAATAGGTGAGCACACCTGTGACGTTATAGTGGGGAGAATGCACAGGACTGGCCGCCAGCCACACGC